CCACTCAGGCAGATCTAAAAGTTCAGTCAATTTGATGGGCAAAGATGGTATGTCAGACAACATGCCCTTAATCCATTTGGGGCTTTAACGATGAAGAACAACACCCTGAATTGGGTCTGGAAGCATGCTGGCAACCAATGCCATTGGAGCAATAACAGTGATATTTTCAGGCATCTCTCTCTAGTAATATTTTGGTGGCAACCGTAGGTGCTGGACCATCTTCAAAGACAAATTCACATAAAGTACTTTATAGTAGTCTTGTCTAGAGGTGACCATTGATCCAAACCAGGTCCAAACAATCCAGATAGGGTTGCAACTTGCTTAGAAGGCAGAGCATGGACTAAAAGTGCTATTGGCTGCAGCTGTTTCTTGTGTTATTACTCAACCCGTGGTTTGCTGGATTGCATGCTGCTGCCGCTTTGCATGACCAACCTCTAACTGGCCAAATGGGAGATAATCATGTGACGTGTGAACCCAGACACGATGGATTATTCCTGGATTAAACAACCCATTAACTTAAGAACCAATTCTAACTTAATTTTGGGTTGTTAACCCATTATCTAATTTGCCATTGTCAAGTGACAAATGGATCGGTGAATATAGGAGTACTCCCAAGCTGCGCACTGGGTCCTTTAATAGAAGTTCAATCACATCCAGAACAGATGTTGCACTATATCATCTAGATCTGCTGACTTCCAAAACTGTTGTGTATACTCATTCTGGCAAGATTCCAAGGTGTGCATAAGAAGCTGACTGTTCTGGCGGGACTGATAACTCCAAGTCTGAGAATGAGGGGGAGTTGGCTGACCCAGACAGGGCTGAGAGCTCGAACTCTGATAATGGAAGTGTTGCTATAATAGACAGGCCTCCACCTTCAGCCACAGTTTCTCAGTACCCATCTTTGTTTGCTCAAGATGAGATAATTTCAAGGACGGCCATGGGGCCCAATGCACCTGCCTGCGGGAATGAACAGCAACAACATCCTGAGAGAGGGGATTTGGAGATGGGCAGTCTCTTGGATGGAGAACTCTGGCCTCCTGAGGAGGTGCACCCAAAGGTCCATCATCACAGCCACAGGGTGGCCAGTTGGGGGCTCACAGTGCAGAACGCAGGCATGCCCTTTTCCACAGTGCCCCTCCTTCCTGAGACAGGCCCAGAAGGGTTCATAAGCAAAGCTTTGGGTAAAGAGGGGCAGAGAGAGCTCAACATTTCACTTTGTGTATGCTCAGGGACTTGTGAATGCTTTGAGACTTCTGTGAAGAATAAAGATGCTTACAAGAAGTGCTGGAGAGTCTGTCTTGCTGGGGAGGGGCCACCTACCTAGCTCACAACACAAAGTATGCAACCTCTGCCTTTCCTGCTAATATGCCAACCGTCCCAAGCAGGCGAAAACAAAAGAAGATGGAACTGTTGCACAATGCCTTCTGATTGCCTCTGCCAGGAGCCCTCTCTCTAAAAGCAAGCATGGTCTTCAGCCAACTTACCATTTTCATGCTCCTATGTACCAGTATGCATCTTTAGCTATCCAGGTCTGAATAGAACACTCCAGGTGAGTCTCCTGATCTTTATTCCACCCTTATCCCCATCAGATACAATGAATTATTAGAGCAGCTTTCCTCACCTGGTGACCATCAAAAACATTGAACTACAACTCCCCTAATCCCCAAGGAGCATGGATGATAGGAGTTCAACACATCTGGAGTGTACCAGATGAGAGAAGGCTGTACTGGGGCTTCATCAGGCCAATTTCCTGGTCGTCCTTTCCTTGACTTCTACCAGTACAGCTCACCCGTCCTGCATTTTCTGTGCTTCATTCCCTTAAAAAAGTAAAATGCAAAACAGGTTTGCAGATAAAAAGAAGGAAGATTATTGTTTCATCTAAGGCAGTCTTTCTGCAAGAAAAAGCCAGTTCCTGGAGTTACAGATAGACATGCAGTCTCGCACATGACCAAGACCCGCTTCTCTTCAAAGCCTGAACTATATTAAGAGTTTCCACAGATCAGTACTATGCGATGTACTATACAAAGCCTGGAATCATATTTCACTGAGGGCCATCAAGGTACTTTTGACTACTGAGATGTAATTTGAGTAATTTCCCAGCTCATTTGCCAGAAACCTCCCACTCTGACAGCTGCTAAGGGAAACACAAGTGCAGGGTGCCCAAATGCAGAAAAAATGAAAAGAAACATTTGAAAAAGGACCCTATATGTCACAAAACCACAAAATTGTAATGGGAATAAGCAACATGCCTATTCTGGGGAGATGCTATTTATGTTAAATTTACTATTTTAGCCAAAGGAAAAGCAATACTCCATTTGCTACAAATCACAGAGCATTTATTGCGGTTAAGTTAAAGAAGCCACAGTTGAATCAGGTGTGTGTTACGAAGTAAGAGTCAGGAGTTGCACACAACTTTGGTGCCACAAGCCTGCTGCCGCACCCTTTGGGACATTCATGCAGAGCCCCTCAGGCCGCCTTGTTCAGACCCTGTTGCTGACTGACACACTGGTCAGTCTCCTCACTCGACACTAGTTCAGCACACCACTGAAAGGGCCTCACACGGATATCCACAAAAAAGGGGGTGGGAACATGGGTGTCAGACTCTCATCCAACAGCCCAAACCGTGGCCAGCATGGTATTAGTAGCAGGGGACACTGAAGCCCATCCCATCCCGCTGTTCTTTCAGTGTGTGTATTTGTTAAGTGAACGCTCCTTGTATGACCTTCTGTGCTCTCAGAGGTGACCATGTGCCCTACTTTGCAGGCACAGTTCTCTATTTTATTTATTTATACAAGCTTTCATATACTGTCCTCCATGGCCAAATTGGCATTCTGAACAGTTTTCAAAGTTAAACAATACAATATAATGATCAAATAACAATATAATAGCAATATATTTCAGCACCTGAGCCAAGCAACCAAAATAAGGAATAAATTAAATTAAATAAGCATAAACTAGATAAACAGTTAAATAAACAAATTAAGCTAAGGTTGCTTTTTAATCTGGCCATTGCTCTGCTTCAATTATAGAATTTTGCAGGGCTTCTAGAAGTCATCTTTTACTTGTAACCTTCCTGTGTTTTACCACTGCTTCTTCCATCTTTTCTTTTACCCTAGATCTGTTTGAGAAGGAGATAGAACAAGTATAAACACAAGAAGAAAACTATAGCAAGCAAAGGCTGAAGGAAGTATGTTGAAGCATTGCAACTTTTAAGTTTCTTATCTCCTGGGGCATTCAGTAAAAGGTAAGTTCCATCCATCAGCAAAAAGAGTTTAGAAGGGATTCCAATATGAAAGTGGTCGGTCAGAATGCACCTGTAGATTCGATACTATCTGATTTAGGCTGGAGTGGGAATGGAGAGCTAATACTAAAAATATTTGCCCCTCCTTATATAAACAATGAGGTCTTAGCACCAGGGTGAACTTTGCAGGGAGCCTATGGCTTCCACTCTGCCCCCCAGCTTCTGCCACACCTCCACCCTGTCCCCAACAACCCAGGGGACACCCCACAAGCCCTGCTCCCCTCCCACAAGGACCTACTGGCAGAGTTTCCCAGGACACACTTGGGGAAGTGTGTCTGGCAAGGTGTACTCCCTCTGTTCCAGGACTGGTGCCTGCACAGCTTCCCTCCATATACCTGGTTGCTGGGAGGATGCAACTCTGACAGCGTGTGCAAATTGGGCACATGGGCAAAAAGGGGGGGGGGGGGGGACAAAGTGTGCTGCATGGACACAAAGTGTGGCAGCAGCAGAAGGGCACTGCTCCGTTGCTCCTGCTCCTGCTACACTTTGTCGATAGTGGCTCTACAGAGCAGCGGGGGGGGGGGGGGGGTGGCAACTGAGTGAAAACATGCCTGGGGAATGTGCGGGCAATGGGGGAGTGGCAGGCAGTGCCGGAGGAATGGTGCACGGTGGGATTGATTCCCAGCCGCAGGGGTTCATGGGGTACATGCTGCCCTTTGTAGGAAAGGTGGAGCCATGCGGAAACCATGCATGAGTAGCTACCACATGAATGTGTGGACACGGGACAAAAGGTGTTCATTTACTACATAAAACCCATGAAGTCTGGCTTAGCATTATGTATGAACATAGCCGATGTCTGAATGGGTCAGTCTCTGTTTTTTTCCATTTTTTGTCTTTTGGCTGAAACTTTCTTAAAATTTCATTATTGTGGGTTGATGGACTTTTCAATGTCTTGAATCCAGGTCCCTTCTCCGAGCCCTTTTAAATTTCTGAGTGAGATTGGGCTGGGATCAGTGCATTTTGTATGCAGGCAACAAATGGTGTAGTCATGTGCCTTGTCATCCAGCTTGTTGTTGCCATTTCATGTGTCAGAGACACTCATTTTAATTTTGAACGTTTGGAAACTGATCATTATGAATGACAGATGTATCTTTAATCTCAAAAACCAACACCTCCAAAGTTTTTTAAATGTGTTATTTCCTGTTAATTTAATGGTGGATAAGCATTACAAAGCAAACAAATATGGCACAGAATGGAGTATTGCCTCCAGCAATGTATAATTAGAGGGAGGTTAAGCAAATAAGTCTTGGTATGAGAATAAGGTGACCAGTTTTATATTGTATAAAACACACCAGTTGTAGTGTGTTTCCTCTTCAGGATTCCAGCCTCTCCATTTAAGTCCCCTCACCACAGTTTTCCTTCCACTGCACCAACAATTAGTTAGCATTTTGTCTCCACAAAACACTGGGATTTTTTGGAGTTCCCCTGAAGATATTTTGATTCTGCCATAGACCTTGGCTGTCACTGGAAGCATCTGGTGCTATTTGGGCTACACGTGGCACTCACAGGCGGAATATCAGAAAAAAACAAACAAACGGGCCTGGGAAAATAGAGGTATTGTACACTCAGCCAAGCAGTATACTATTTCACGGCTAGAGGGCTCACTCTCGCTTTCACGCTCCACTCCTTTTCACTTTCGATTCCTGCAGTAGCTTGGAGTTTTAATTTCTAGAGCAATTATCTGTTGGTACATTCATTTCTTAAGAAACATTAGGCTATGCTAACATAGGAAGAGGTGTGGCTAGGCTACTAGAGAGAGAGAGAGAGATTAGGATAAGGCAGACTTTTTAGGCCGTGGGCACATTTGGAAATTTTCCTGAGCACCACCACAACATGGCTACCATGGGAGGTGTGTCAAAGCACATATGACCTGCTGGGAACAAAACAGTGTGGGGTCAGAGCCCAAGCCAGTCCTTTGAACCCACACTTTTCATCTACAACAGAAAGCCATTTCACAGCCATCCCAGCTACTGGTAAGAAAATGTTTGTTTTTTGCTTAAGTGAGCAGGTTAGAGCATTTTGGTGAGTGCTGAAAAATCTGTTGAAGGGGTTGAAGGGCTGGAAAATCTCACTAAAGCTAAATTTAGGAGTGGCCAAACCATTAATTCATAAATAAGGAACTCTTTGCAAAACTGTGTTTGAAATGGTCTTTTATACAGTGGTACCTCGTCTCACGAATGCCTTGGGTCACGAACAAAAATTTTGACTTGGGTTGCGAACTCCACACTGGGTGGCGACCAAGATCGCAGCCATCCCCCCCCCCCCCCCCCCGGGGGGGAGATGGCTACAATCACAGTTGCGTTCGTGCAGGGAAGATGTGCATGATCCCAGGTGCACTGCTGCAGGAAAGACAGGTGCAATCTCGGCCATCTGCCCTGCGGCTGTGCTGTGCCCGTCTTCCCTGCAGCAGTGTGCTTCTGACCACACACGCCTTCCCTGCACAAACGGAACTGCAATCGTGGCCATCTCCCCACTTGTGTGGGGGGTGGGGAGATGGCCACAATCGCAGTTGCTTCCCCACCCCCGAGTGGGGAAATGGCCGCGATTGTGCTGGGGGGGGAGATGGCCGAGATCGTGCTCATCTCTCCCTCCCTCAGTGCGCCGTTTGCGCCCGTCTCTTCCTCCCCTAGTACACCTGCGATCATGCCCGTCTCTGCCCCTCCCCACCCTCCAGAGCGCCGGGATGACCGGCACATGCCTGCAGGGATGACAGGTGCAATCTCGGTCATGCTGGGGGGAGGGGCGGGGAGAGATGACTGCGATCTTTGTTGTCACTTTGCTTCACATTTTTCTGATTTAAAAAATGGTTACAAAATGGATTAACCTCATTTACATTGAACCTTATGGGGAAATTTAACTTGGCTCATGCCAGAACGGATTAAGTTCGTGAGCCAAGGTATCACTGTATCCTGTTTTACTATGAATCACTACAGACAATATTGCAAACATAGATTGTACTATAAATGAAAATGCACCTAACACTCTTAGGTAATTTGGATATATTACTCAGCAACTAATTTTTAGTAAGTCATATTTTGAACTGAGCAAGACTGAACTTCAGTTATGGTGGCCTTACACTCAGACTCGCTCTCTTGACCTTCATGACTGTAGGGGAAAACCCTGGTAGAATTGCCTTTCTGTTTCCCCCTACAGAAGGCGGGTTAAATAGGTTAGAAATGAGTCTGGACCGCAGCAAGAGATTCAGGAAATGCGTCCTTAATCAGAGCTATGCAAAGGTGGAACAAATAAAACCAGTAAAACAATATTCTCTCTTTCTCTGGGAGAAGACACAGGCACTCCACACATGCTCATAGGTCCTCTTCATTCTATAAGCTCAATTAAAATCAGATTTAGTTTAAGCTCCTCCGGGAAGCATTCCCATTCCTAAGGCAGGTTTTATTGGGCTTTTGCCCTGTTCTAGTGCGGTCGGAGGAGGCCCGCTTAGCGCCAGCTCTCTTCCGGCTGCTCCTCTCCTGCCCGCTCGGCTTAATCCTATTGGTGGCCTTCACGTGCAGGGGAGAGGGCGTGCCCGCGGTTGTCGGCGCCAGGGCTGGAAGGAGGGTTCGGGGCGCCGCGGCGCATGCGCGGCCATTTTCCTCGCTGACCGCCGTCGTGGGCCGCTGGCCCTCCCGCGGGCTGGGCAGGCGCGGCAGAAACGGCTTTGCGGAGCGGGGCGCCTGCTCCGAGGGCGGGGTCGGCGAGGGGAGGGGGCGCGGCTTAGGCGGCCGCGCAGCAGCACCGAGGGAAGGGGGCGTGTGTGGTGGCGAGTGGCCCGAGGAGGGGAGGCGGCTGCAGCGGGAGGCGCACCGCACCGCAGCGCGGCGGACTCACGCCCTGCGGGACCGCCGCGGGCCTGGTGAGTCGTGCCTTCCCTCCCGTCCCCGGCTTCTGCTTGCGCTTCGCCTCCCCGGGGGGCGATTGAGGGGCCCGCCTGCCTGCAGCCGTCGCTGTTATTGCTTGCTGGCGAACGACGCCTGCGGTGTGATGGGGTCTCGGGCGCTATCCTGATCGAGCGAGAAAAATAAATCAAGCGCGTCCCACTGATTCCGGGAGGGAATGAATTAAGTCCATGCGAGGCTCTTCCATTGAGGTCAGTGGAATTTAATCTGGGATCCGTGCCTCTACTTCTGTTTGTGTCCCTTTTCTAATTTCACTGCACGGAAATGCTCCTTGCCACGTTGGGAGGACCATCCTGACGACCTTCACCCCTCATCTTTCACAATCCCTCTTGCCTCTGTCATCCCAGATTTTATTTCCTGCTTTCTCAGTTTTCTCATCTCTGCTTCAGTGTGCTGACTTTGTAAAAATAGGATATGTGGGGGTTTGTTTCTCTTATTTTGTATTTTGGTGGGGGGAACAAGGAGGAAGTAAATAAATTTATTTCCATATTTTTATCCTGCAGTATAGCTGGTTTTTGAAGGTGGCTGATACTAAATAGAAAAATTAAAGAGTATTTTAAAATTAAAATAAAATATCTCTGTTTAGGACAATGGTACAGAACTGTCTGAAAACAAGTGAATGTTTGCCTTTTTGGAACAATGTTCTTCTGTATCATAAATTTTTGTTATGTCAGCATTTGCCAGTGTATGCCTGATGAGTGGCAGGGGCATATAACAGTCTGAATTTGGGAGAATCCTGTTGGATGCATTCCAATGAATGCTGACAGTCCACTTTTCAACATCCACTGGTGTAACTTGGAGTGTCTGGGATTGCCAACATTAATGTCAGTGTGTCAGCATCTGCTGTTTCCTGGATGTTCACAGTTAAGGCATGGTAGGGTTCTGCTCAGGTGTTACATGCATGATGTCACATGAACAAGTCTCAGGATCATGAACTCCATTTCCCTCTTTCCTAAAAACTTTATTATTTGTTTTAAACAGACCAGTTATTCATTATATCCAGATTTGAATCAGTTATGGTTAGTCTTAATTATGATTTGTTTATTTATTTAGGATTAGACAACCAGGTAACCTATTGATGTTTTTGACTAGAACTCATATAAGTCTAAATTATTGTGGCTACTGGTAGGGGATTATGGAGGTTGTAGTCCATGATCCAGAGCATCTGGAGGGCATTAGGTTGCCTACCCCTGGGTTAGGGAAATAAACCAGATTCAAATTGTGACTTACAAAGTTAGTCCGTCCCCAAGCCCGAGTTTGAAATGAAAATTCTCAGTTCAAGCATACTAGATTGAGGGTAAGTAGCCTGGCGCTTTCTGATTGTTGTGAACCACAATTCCCAGTATGGCCAATTGAGGATCATGGGAGTTGTCCAAACAGCTGGAGGACACCAGCTCACTGCCTCTGATTGTATCTTACTTGCACATGATTGGCACATCCTGAATGACTTAGAAAGTATATGTGTGTTCCCATGATACTTAGAGTGCAATCCTGTGTCACCCTGACCTCATCAGGGGGGCAATAGGATTACTGAACCCTAGATCCCAGGTTGTGAAATAGGACCCTGCAGTGCCCCCAGCCCACCCACCTTGCAGCAGGCACAGAAAAAACCAAGCAAGTTATGTCAAAAATGAGGTCATAAAAATAAGAATTTCTGGACGTGTTGTAAATTTGCCACAGGTATGGCATCAGTGTGTTTAAAAACCTGAAGCTGAGTGCATATTACATGTTTTGCAAACCTTGGACTGATACAGGAAAGAAACGTCGTGTTTCAGCACCCCATGCATTTAGTTCCTGTTTTGAGCTGATTTGTAAAAATCTAGGCAGAACTACCTTTCTCTCTAGTTGTGGTAGGTTGACTAAGCTATGTGGATTTTTTTCCTTACTCTTTGTGTGTGGTATGGTAGTGGGGTATTCCTAAAGCAGGGATTGTTTCTTCTGCTAAGTTCAGTTATTGATATTTCAAGATACTTGCTTCCATCTTGAAGATTAGCATTGGCCTCTACCACATACTGCTTGTATAGATAGATAATATTCCTATTAAATTTTATAAATCTGCATGCATATGTGGTAGACATAACGTTAGACAACTGAACATGGCCAGCATTAAGTGTCCACTGCATAAACTTGAATTCCATAAACACTGCAGCAAATTCATCTACAACATGCTAATTGCTATGGTTCAGACCATTTATAGGGTGTGCTTTGCATCTATTTTATAGAGATTAGTCTCCTTACAACAGCCATGAAACATGGAAACTTTTATGATGAAAAAAAAATTGCTTTATTTACATCTGTTCTTTATCATTTATCCCCTGTAGAAATTGTCCCCTGTAGAAACGGTAATAAATACAAAGATGCAGTGTAATGATTTCTACCCTTAAACAGATATAACAGCAATAATTACATTGGGATGGATTTTTAATTAAAATCATTTCTCTTTGTTCACCCTGAATTACATATTCTTCTTCTTATTATTTCTGCTACCTTCCCCCCCCCCCCCCGCCGCCTTCTTTGGTTGTCCTTGTATCACTTGCTAGATTACAGTGCTAGAACTCTTTTATTACTTGTCAAAAAGAGATAGTGGATGGCACTAGCTCTTTATCTTTTCTTCAACTGGGTTTGCAGCGACATGGCAACCCCACTGAAGCCTTTAGAAATACTGCTCTACTGGTGGAGATGCAGATACACTAGCAGGACAACACACTTGGCACCAGAGCACCCCAGGACACTAGTGGAAAGTTCCATGGGTATCTTCTACCATTGTTGTCCTGCCAGCAAAGGCAGGCCGCAGTGGGGAGAATTTGACTGAGTGAGAGGTGACTATGGATCCTAATCATTCCTCCATTTCTCCAGCACATCCAAAAAACACATCTAATGCTATGCCAGCGCTGGGCCTGACATAGGTATTTTCTTCCATTGGAGTCAGCTGGGAGGAAAAAGGCACTGAATTGCTGCAGCGATCCACCAGGGCTATTGATGTGTTGGACCTGCTACTATTAATCTCTTCCCCCCTCCTTCCCCCAGTTGATGCTTAGGATTGCTCTGATGGCTAAGGCACTCTTCAGTTATAATCCCTCCAAAAATGCATATTTTTAGAGCATGTTAAAAAACCTCTACTTGCTCCCAGAAGAATAATCTATCTGCTAAGGTTCTGCATGAATGCTGGTTTGAGCATGTCTCCTGGTTGGAAAGAGAGAAGCTCCAGAGTAGTGACTCAGGCAAGGTGCAGCAGACAGCTACATTTCTCATACCTTAAGCTCACAGGAGCTGTTCTTTTATGATAGCTCACAAATTCCGCTCTGATAAATTTTAGACAATTTCTGAAAGAGAGGGTCGTTGAGAAGGGACATTGGCCAACTGGGATTCTCTTTTGCCTTATAACTTGAGAATGTAGCCAGGCTTCTCATGCTCCCTCTACTGTTTGAGTAGGAACATGAGACAGCAGTCTTGGAAGTATGCAAAGAATTTTATGGAAAACCGGCAAAGTCAACCTGCTTGGTTCAATAGATGGAGGATTTCCTTATCTTCCACAAGTTAAATTCTGCTTATATTGGCTACCCTGCAATGATACTTGCAAAGAAAATACTAGCCCAGCATTCTGACTAGTAAGACACCTACTTGTTTTCTGTAAATTGCTATTCAGTTTAATAGTAGCTTAGAAACTGTATGTTGGCATGCCAGGATTAAAGTCTGTAATTGAAACGCTACCTATTAAAATTGTTGTTCAGAAAATGGAACACATCAATGGAGCCAAGGCTTAGTTTCTCCTCTTTGATTAGTCTCACGGAATGTATTTGTTGAAATTACATTCCAAAAAGGTTTTGCACACCTGTTTTTATAAAAGCTTGAGAAAACTTTTCTTATGGAGAACTATACAGGTTTGTTGTTATGTTTGTATCAGATTTGGATTGGTGTAGATGTGCTTGTGCTGATTTGCATGATCTCTGGCTTAAGCTACAGTGGCTTGTTTAATCTGTGGTACATGCTGGGTGCCATTTTCCTAATAACCCACTACAGTACTGCTTTTTGTGTTGTCCAAGTTCAGGCAGCATGGCTTGTTAAGAGGAAAACTGAACTATCAAATAACCCAACTCCAGGCCATAGTTTATTTAAGGGTTGTTTCCCCCCCTCCTAACAAGCCATGTTTCCTGGGCTTAGAAGGCATGACAAGCCACGACCAAGTGGGTAATTAGGCAAATGGTGCCCAGTACAAACCACAGCTTAAACAAACCACAGTTATTTGTTTAAGCCATGGTGATTGTATGAACCTGGTCATTAAGAATGGCCTGAAAAACAGCGTGGCTAAGCGAGAATTTGAATCCCCGCTAATGTATTTAATGTAAGTTACCCTTGTCTGGTGGCCATGCTTGTATCCTTGAAGCTTATTGGCAGTAACCGACAAATCACTTGCTGAGCAAAGGTTGATCTGGTCCACCTTCTGTTCACACAATAGTCATTTAGAGTCTATAGGAAGCCAACAAGTGGGACTTAAATGTAACAACACCTTTGCATTTGTGCTTCCTATAACTAGTATTGAGAGACATAGTGCTTCTGAAATTGGAAGTAATATATGTTAGCCAATGATGGCCTTACTTTCTTCTTCCTTTTGAAAGCTGTTCAAGTTGGTGAGCATCACTATATCTTGTCCTGGTTTACCTGTACTCTGCATGAAGAATTTCATACTGTTGAATCTCCCATAATTCACTTTCATGGGATAATGAAAGAGGCTGAGCTACCGAAGCAGGGTTTTTCTCTCTTTTATTAGATGTTTGACACTGTGAAATCACTAATCAGTCATCCTGTGTTGATTATTTAGCCTCAAGTAAGTGGTTCAAAATAGAGAAGTAATGCCAACTTAAATGTAACTGCTTTTCTGTTGTAGGCGAAAATGCAGGAAGCGGATCTAGTTGCAAAAATGCTTCGAGCTGTTCTCCAGTCCCATAAAAATGGAGTACCCTTTTCGCGTTTGCAAGGCGAATATAAATCTTTAACTGGAGACTGGATTCCTTTTAAGCAGCTGGGACATCCTACTCTAGAAGGATATATAAAGAGCATTCCTGGAGTTGTTAGGATTGAAATTGGTAAATCTGGTGAGGTAAGACATTCAAACTTCAAAAGAAACCTTTAAAATTAACTTTAATTCAGACTTTTGTTCCTTCAGTGCAAAAAGTAAAAATGGTGTCTAGATACCTGTGGGCAATTATTTAGATGCTGCTGTTCTGTTATCGTGGTCTTCAACCCTTGGTAGAGGATGGGTTTAGTATCTTCTACTCTTTAGACTTTTCAGATCTTGGACCTCACACAAAAGCATATCTTGTGTATTCATGTACCTGGTAGTGTTCACCGGAGCAACGTTTCTTGTGCTACTCTGGCAGATTCCCAGACTACTGCATGACAGTGTATTCCTTTGTTTGCTTTTCCACAGTCCAAGCATAATGCAAAGAGTGGGTGGGGTTGTTTCCAATTGACAAGCATCTCCCATCACTCTGAATGTTTGAAACTACTGGTAAATAATTATCTAATCTTCTGTTGTTGTGTTTTTCCTTCTTTCTTAAGCAGGTGATCTGCCATGCTGTTGTTTGCCAAGAGACTGCAAGAATTGCTCAGCTTGTAGCCTGCCAGAGAACTTCCAAAAGAAAATCAAGCCGGCAAGTGAACTGCAGGATGAGACTGAAAAAAACTGCTCCACTCACCTCAGTAGGTAAGCTGCAACACACTGCACTGGTATATGCTTAATTAATCAGCTTTGCACTAATCACTAGCAGAGCTTCTCTATTGTGTTGGTTCTGCTTACTGCAGTGAGCTGTGCTTACTCTTGAACAGTTCATGTTATGCAACAGTTTGGCTGACCATCCACATGTGCTTCACACCTGTGTGTAAGGAAAGGGATACTGGAAAAGAAAGGAAGAACAGACATTATTTCTTGCAAAATACACTAAAATGATAAACAGGCCTATTCCACCAGCCTTGCTGAGAGGTTTTTTCCCTTCTCTGTTTCCTCCCATTTCATTTTCCTTGTGTGTTGTGTTTTTAGCTTGTAAGCCAGTGCCAGGGACCACTGGAATGTGTTTGGCTGAACAATAGAATGAAAAAAAACTAACACTAGATACATAAACAATTGTGTATATTGTCATTCTTGATTGTTCTCCATGTGTTTCATTTTATTTTATTGTATTTGGATATTTATCAGCCATTCTTCATGCTGCTTGTTAACTCCATATTATTTTGTGATGATGGGGTATTTATGGATTAAAATGTTAATTTCTTCAACACATGTATTTGTGTTTTCAAAGGGGCTATTGTACAAGCAAACTTTTAAGGCACTCTCTGCAGGAAAAAATGTTGACCTAAATGTGCTAGTTATATTTTTCTTTGTTCTGGTAAAATGAAGAACTTTGGTTGAAATGCTTCTAAGACATTGCTACTTTGAAAATAAGATTTAACCCATTATGTCTCATTTCTTTGTGTTATAGGCAAGCCAAAGGGCACCTTGAGGAAGCCAGGATTCATGAATTTTGCAGAGGAAAGCAAGAGGCCTGCAGCCCCACTACTGAGAAGCAAAGGAGGTTATGCAGCAGTTAGACCTACATCACCATATCCCATGCCGTCAGAATTTGGGATGGCTGCACCCAAAGAAGTCTTAATGCAAGGACACATGACTGTGATGAGCAGGTTAGAGCTTGTCTTAGAAAACATGCTAGTATACACTGCACTAATGCTCTACAATTGTGTACATACAAAGGAGAGAACTGTGTTCCAAATGTATACAGAAGTGTCCGAAATACTGTGTTAGCAATGTGAAAATATTGCAGAACTGTTTGAATGAAATATGCAATACTTTTGCATGTGAATCTTCTTTTAATTGTCTGTGTTCTTGTGTTTTTAATGATGGCATGGGTTGGATAGTGGAAAAAATTAGCAAAGAGAATATCTTTGGCCTTTATTTCTGTTCATTTAGCGGAAAACCATCTTGAGATTGGGTGCATGGAATTACCTGCTCAATGTTTCCTTTTTAACTACAGTAATCCAGTTTAAAATTAGTATGGCTAATTACACTGCTACACAGCTCCTAGAACGGGCTGCAAAAGTAGTGGTATAAATGATGATAGGATTGCTAATATATGCATCTACTCTGCTAAAGAAACAAGGTTCTGAGGATCAGATGAAGCGCTTATTTGAGTAGATGGTTCCTACAACATGTGGTGGCAAGGCCTTTGTCCAGTAGAACTTCTGCAGCCTCTAATTTTTGCTTCAGATTCCTCTGTGAAGTGAAATAAATGGCGGGAGATTCAAAACTGCACGTGCACAATTAAGGAATGAATGTGTAAACACTGAAAAGCTGCTCAGTAATTTAAATAAACATTTCAGTTTTCTGTGGTCCATGAAAGTTCTTTCAGACCCTGATTAGAAAGAGATGCTTTTGCTGGTATTTTCAGGAGTCTGTTACTGCAGTGAACAGCCAACTATGAGAGCTGCAGCCTGCTCATGTAACAGGGTTACTCGTAAGTGAGTTTTACTGAGTAATCGTGCACACTTATTACATAATGAGCATGAACTGCAGCCTTAATGTATATAATGAATGACATGCTAATAGCAAATTAATTGCTCTTAATTATGTTATATGCATATTCCCTGAGGCTTCTCTCTAAAATGGTAAATTTCTTTCTTCTGTCATTTGATGTTGTGTACACACACACTTAAATCCAATATTAGGTGAGCAGACCTATTTGCACAATTGGAACTTCCATTCCTCATCAAATACGTGGCCCCCAGATCTGCCCCAGAGGGTCCTTTAATGCTCTGGAAAAGATTTGGAAGGTTGCAGAGAGGGAAGGGGAAATTTGATCTCCCAGAGGCATTCACTTTGTTAATGAAAGGATATTATTTCTATGCCCAGATAATTAAACCTTCTTTTATCAGTATTGAAGATTTCAATTTATAATTTCCATTTTATTCTTTTCTAAGAATGGTGGGGACAGCTATTTGAGGTACGGAAGTTTGTAGTACCATTTCAATATTGGGTTTATTTGTAGTTTAAGTGAAGGCATTTACTATTAAAAGTTCATAAGTGTACCGTATGAATATGTAGTAGGTGAATGCTTTTCCTACCACTTATTTCCATGCCAGGGAAAACTTCACTGGTTAAATGCCAGTATGTTGGGCTCCTAGGTAAGTAGAATTCTCTTCCAGTGTCCCACAATTGATATTCTGCTCTACTTGGGTTTTACTTGGTGCCATCTTTGGCAATTGAATTTTGGGGTGGTCCCAGTGTCCTGAGGCATCTTCTGCCAACCTTGATTGGTGGCCCATCTATGCCTCTGTATGAATGTTGCTATTTGCGAAGTCGTGTCCGACGCATCGTGACCCCATGGGCAACATTCCTCCAGGCCCTCCTGTCTACCACCATCCCTCGGAGTCCACTAAGCTCACACCGACTGCTTCAGTGACTCCATCTAGCCACCTCATTCTCTGCCATCTCCTCCTCCTTTTTCCGTCAGTTGTTCCCAGCATTAGGCTCTTCTCCAAGGAGTCCTTCCTTCTCATTAGATGGCCAAAGTATTTGAGTTTCATCTTCAGTATCTGGCCTTCCATATGAATAGGATTAACCATTTGCCTGGTAACCTTGAAGTTAGGTTATTTTGATTCTCTTTATATGGGGCTGCCCTTGATGGCTGTTAGAACCTACAGCTCATTCAAAATGCTGCAGCCAGATTGTTAACAGAGACAAGGTGGTCTAAGCATACAACACAAGGGTTTTCTTAATCCCTCAATTATGGAATGGTCTCCTCAGTGAAGCTTGCCTGACACCAACATTGTTATCTTTTTGGTGCCAGATTGAGAGTGCCCTTTGTTCTCAGACTTTTAGCAGCATATGGTAAGCTTTAAATCAGGCCCTGATTTTCCTTACTGTTGATTGTTTAAAATAGTTTAGATATTTAAGATATATGTATGCATGTCTTTGTGTGGTCTGTTTGTATATAAATGGTTTTGCATTATGTATAATAGCTATTTTTAAGCTTTTCAATCATCATAATCCACCCAGAGAGCTTCAGCTAATGGATTGTATAGAACTGTAATAAAGGAAATTAAATAATGTCATGGTGGGGGAAGCATGAGGATGAAGAACAGATCCCCACATTTCAAAGATGGAGTAATGCTTGTTCCTTGTTTCTTGAACGCATGCCTTGTACTGAATCGATTTTTTGGGCTTTTTACTTCTTTAAAAAAAACAGATTAACATTTACTCAGTTGGCAAGGAGTTTTCCAACTTTAGAAAAGAAATGTTTAAAAACCACTTCACATTTAAGTCCCTCCCCCCCCAATTCTAGACTTTAGACCAATGGCATTTTTCTTCTCCTCCTCCTTAAAGCAATGCTGTTACAGACGTTCTTGCACAATTGGTCAGTTGTATTTAGGTCTTCAGTGTCTTAGATAATGTCAACTAAAAGGTTATATTCAAAGCTGAGCATAGAGAGACTTCAGACATTGACAATGACCTGTTCTTGAATTTCAACAAAACTGTACTGGTGCATCTAATTTCCGTGTATGTTGATGCAAAACAAATCAACATGATGCTGAAGTTCTGCTGATACAGTGCAATACCGCCCACACGCATGTGCACGCACACTATCCTTTCAGCTAAAACCCAGCTTGACAAGCTCAGCTGCTGTGCCATCACTTCTCCGTGTATTGTTTGTTGCTCTTCTGGATCAACAAACCATGATGCAGCTAATGTCCTTGCTGGCCCAGCCACAATGATGGACTTAGCAGAATAGTTCAGATTACTTGAATAATCCTCCTATTGTGCTATTGTGGCTGACAAAATGTATTTACTGAGGAAGCTGCCAGGAAAAGCAGCATTTTCAAACTGCAGTGTATTTGCATGGATCTGGGAAGAGTATTGAATGACAAGAGACCCTTATACAAGGTGGAATGTCTTCCTTGAAAGGAAAGGTTTCTTAAAAGAATGCACAGTGCCAGGTTTATTGCGAACATAGATAAGAGTGGGAATACCCTGCAGTAGGGGTGAATTGTATGGATATCCACTGCCTTCACCTGAAACACCTGGTGGTTGGTAGGTCCTGATTTCCCAGTTTCTCCATGATTCTGTTTCATTGTCAGCCCATCTACAGAGCAGGAGTGGTAGTGAACTCTACTATTATCAGCCACAGGTGTGTGTGTGTGTGATTTATTTATTTATGGATTTATATCCTGCCTTTTCCTTACAAAGGGCTCAAGGCAGCTTACATCTCCTCCTCCATCTTATCCCCACAACAACAACAATTTGTTAGGTTTTTGAAAGCTGTCCTAACAAATAAGTTATTTGTTATGGTTGAAAGGAACAAAATTTTTATTGTCATCTCCCTGCTGTGCAGAGATCTTTTACATGCAAGGGAATATTTAAAAATGTTTCCAACCAGTTGTCCAAACTGGTACAGTCTACTCATTCATTTCCATCCCATGCTACTGCATGATCCAATGTAAAGACAGCTGTGGAAAATCTAGCAACTGAAACTCCAGCCCTTTCCCCTTTCACCTGGAAAGAATGACTGGGGGGATTCCTAGGTTCTCCAGGCCCCTGGAGGAGGGGTCTGCTAAGGCAGCAGCTATGAGTGCTAGTTCTGGTTTGGTTTTTAATCTTACAAAAGTGACAAAAAGCAAAAGATGTAGCATAAGTCCTGCTGGCAATACCTTAATTAGGATTAGTCGGAATAGTGAGCAAGCTTTCAGGTTCTCCAGAAAAAATCAGCAGGCTGTTTGTGAAGGAAGGTGGGAGAGAGAAAGTTGGCTTGATCTGGATGCCATGAAATCAGTGTTTACTTAGTCACATGATGGAATGCAAGAACAGACTTAATTCGGCTTGGTTCTACCATGAAGCAGACAGCTTCAGGAGGTTTGGGACTGTTTAAGCTGCCCAGACAGCCCTTGGCTATGGAGCAGTATTTTATTTTTTTATTTATTTTATTTATAAAATTTGTATGCCATCCAATTCCTTGTGTCTCTGGACTGCTGACAACATAAATTGACAATCCACTCTGACTGCAAATTAATAAAATGCAACAATAAAATTCAGTATTAAAACATTAAAATATTGATTAAAATCAATCAATATTTTTTATCCAGTGCAGTACTGAATTAATGTACAAAATTTAAATTCTGTGTTGGATTGTCTTTAGAACCCTAAAAGGATCAAGTTAATTATGACTTCTTTTACTCCTCTGGATGCCAGTTTTTAAACAAACTATTTTTACAATTTTGGGATGCAGTATTGCCCATCCTCTTCTAATAGGTGTTATACAAGTTGCAGATTGCACTAAAATCACCAAGAGAAAGGAAATAGCAATGACTGCTCCCCCATTTTTAAAAATCTGAAGTCCAGCTGTTCCCTGGATCTGGATTTTTTAACTTGTCAAAACTGGAGTATTAGTTGTCACTACATTCTTTGTCTAAATGGGCCAGGGTGCAGTCTGAAACCCAATAGCACCTACTAGAACCTAATCCAATTAATAGTGCAACTCACTGTGTTTCATGAGACATGCTCCCAAGTAAATGAACATAGAATTGCTGACCAAAGTCTGCTAACTTTTGCGCTCTAGGAACTAGACTATAGTCCATGACAACTTGTAACCAAATAGATTTGTTAGTTTTTAAGGTGCCATGAGTCTCATTGTTTTTGGTGCAAAGGACTAAAACAGATGCTCTTTTGAAATCATCTTAAGACTGACTAAATGCAGGTTTTGTAGCTTCAAACACACCAGTGTTTTCTTTGTTCCCTCCCCTGTTTTCATCAGGTGCAAGAGGGTAAAAGTTCTAGAGGATTCAAAAGCTTTCTTGTTCTATGACAATTTAGTCAGCATTAAACAGAGGCAAAGTTATACTGTGGGATTGATCAAACAGAGCCATCTGGTGGTGAATATTATTTTTTAATGAAGAAAGAATGTCCTGCAAATACACAAGCTTTCAGAGTGAAGTAGTTGTGTTGCTTGTAGATGATTAGTCATTCGACTTTTTCTTAAATTCTGGAATGAAGTGAAATCTCTACTAATAAAGGCATAAATCTTGCTGCTGTGATAGGTAGATGCTTAAAGGTGTGCTTAATTATCTAGTTGAAATGTCCCTTTTTTCCATGTGTAAACTGTTTTGTTAGATGAAGGAGTCTTTTCTGGGCTACAGGATCTGTGGCATCCAACATGCAATAAAATGGTTCTCTCTTGAATAATGTGATTACTGTCCATTAATTCATACAGATATAAGACATGGCAATAGTCTTATGTTGAACATATTAGCTGATGGTATTTAAGTGTGTAAATTAACTCATAGGGGTATATTCTGCTCTGGGTTTTTCAGGCCTGAGAAACGACTAGTGCTTCCACCACGGTTTCAGAGGGAGCTTCAAGTTCATTTATCAAGAAACTTGTCCTTGGATGTGAATGGTATGTTACCAGGGCTGCACAAGTGAATGGCTGACTGCAAAGACCATACTTTCTGCTAGCTACTTGTGAAATAATTTCTATTTTGGTATTCTAGCAATATTATATGTACTTATCAACACAAATACTAGAACTGTAATTTTATTAATTCATGTATTCTCTAGATCAGCCTTTCCCAACCTGGTGGCCTTCAGAGGCATTTGGACCAAAACTCCCAGATTCCCAGCTCACAGGACCATTGACTTGGCAATTCTGGGTGCTGCAGTCCAAACGTATCTGGAAGGCACAAGATTGGGGAAGACTGCTTTAGGTCAATTGACATGCAAAGTCAATTAGTTTAATCTGTGATTAATTTAAAAATAATTGGATGACAGTCCAAAATAAGTGAACTGTTACTAGCACATTCCAAAAATAATTGAGTGCTAGTACTAGCCAGAGTAGACCATTATCCTCAGTGTTCAGCTCCCATGACTTTCAATAGTTCCTTTTTTTCAGAACTAGGTCTGTTCTTCCTTGGTAAATACATAATTTTCCTGAAAAGCTCAAATTGTACAACATTGACTTTTGTTTAATTAGCATTGGTAGCGTTAGCTTTGGTGCATCAGAACTCATGATAAACTTTACTTTTGCTGTTTCTTATCCTTCACCCAAGTAATAAGAGTTGAGTTTTTAATGTCCAGTGAGGAAATCCATAACTTGGCAATGGAATGTAGAATTAATTTACATGGATCATCAAAAAAATTAAACACTTTCTTAAAGTCAGTGAAGCATTTCTAAGCATTTCTTTTTAAACAAATTGTCTGTTCAAAAGGGGAGAGGGAATCTGTTCTTTGTGGTCTCTGTGCATCACAGATAGGGGCTTTGCATCTGCCTAGCGGGAGCTGCTCAGTGAAAGGAAGGAAAGAATCCCATCACAATTATGCAAGATTTCTTATTGTGTAAATATAATGTAAATATGTGCCTCACGCACATGCACATATTTACATAGTTTCTTTTAGTTCAGGTTAGCATTTTTAAAACCTCTTACACTAAAGGTTTGTTTGGTCTGCCCTGTGATTGGAAACACGAAAATTGAGAGGCACAAAATTGCCCAGTCATGTATTTCCCCTTCTCGCTGCCACCCCGCCATGCCCCTTGGTATTTAGTTTGGGATCCTTGCTTATTCTGATGTGTGAAGACCAGTTTGCCAAGCTTTCTCTACTCAGCTCAATGATTTGCTCAGCTTTCTGTATCGCTGCACCTTTCAAAGGGTAAGCACCTGTTCAAAACCTTGGTGAAGGTGTAGCACACCTGAGCTGTCTCATCTCCACTGCAGCTTCCCACCCCAGTCAGGAAGGAAGGAAGGAAAGAAGGAAGGAACCTTCACGAACAGGAAGGGCTAGTTACCATGGTAACAGTTGCTAGGGCCTAAGCTACTACTTGTATGTAAACACTGACAGTGCCGGGCATGTAAATTGCTGCAACAGTAATCTTCAGCTGGACATCTGAAATTACTCGAGGATTTTTGCCTCCTGAGTCTCTGTATGGACATGAAGCTAAAAACAAAGGTTTTGAAAAAGGAACTTGGTTACTGGGTTTGGGGTTTCCCATAATATCTCTCCCACTCACACCCCAGATGGAAAATCTAGTTGCTAACAGGCTTCCTACTTTTGGCTATAATGATAGTTCTGCCATATTTCTTTTTCAAAAGAAATACAGGCTTCAGGATTGTGTGCTTGCTTTTGCAGAAAATATGAAAGAAACAAGGCAGTTTATGCAACCTCCCTCTTCTTATCCTTCAAATACCAATATAAATGAAGTTCAGAAACGAATTAAAGAGATTGTGGATCGCTTCAGCAATGGAATTTGGTTATCGAAGATACCACATTTGTACAGAGAGGCCTATGAAGAGGACTTGAATACAGCCTTGCTCCCACAGTTTGAATACTGGCCTCATGTTTGTGTGGTAGGTGCCAATTTCATCACAGCAGATGAAATTTGATTTTTAAAAGCCAGATTTCTGATTTGAACCAATTCAATTAATTCAAAAAGCTGGTTTATAAGGGAACTTAAATGGAACACACACATCTTGAGGTCTACAGCAAGGTTTTCAGGATCTTCATTTTTATAAGAACAATGAGCCACATTTCAGGGATATGAACTTGCTTTGTATCCTTGCGCATGTACAGAGTGATACCAAAACTTCCTCATCCCAGTGGAGATTGAATTTTGCTGTGAAAAAGCAACACAGGTTGTATAACAAAAGGTTTTAGATTGCTTCTGGATTGCATAAAATGGGGGGTATAGAACCTTCACCTTGTAGGACAAACTCAGCCTATGCCACATGTGCAGTTCCTTCAGGGGATGAAGCGTAAGATGTCAAGCCCCACCACAGCAGGACTCCCCTCAGAAGGCATTCCTGCTGATATCTCTGAACTGATATGGGCGATAGCAGTGAGCAGTGGTGCAACCCAGCCATAAAACCCCTGCCTTGAGAGCAGTGGGTTTGAGTGGTGGTGGGGACTTGCCTGCTTCCCTCCGCATGGGTGGATCTCAGCCACCACTTCCCTACATTCCTGTTACTGTCTCCAGTGGAGATAACAGTGGAGGTGGTGGACCATAAACAGCAGCTCTTCTGGTGGGTGACTCCCACTGCCTAGTTTGCGTTACATCCTTGCTTGTGTCCCCAGTGGAGAGCAGCAGGGTTGGGAGCACAGCTTGAGCTTCCTACACACTGCCTTCAGCACAAAGAAAGAGAAAGAGAGATGACATTGGGGGTGGTGTCTTACCCCTGACATTATGTGAACCCTCATCCCAAAACAGTATTGCACTCCTGGTATACAGCCTGTGTTTGATCCTTGTTTGGGTGTGCTGTTCACCCAATTTGGGCATGTAATATATTCAGTCAACAATTGTATGGAGCAGGGCTGGCCTCCACCGTCATCTGCAAGTGGTGGCTGAGGAGGATACTCTGCTGTATGCATATGGGCGGCTCCTTTGTGACATGGAGCCCTACACACTACAGGGGTCCCAAGATGCGTAGAGCAAGCTACTCACTGCAGATAGGACACATACCTGTTCATGAGTAATGGGTCCGGGTGTTGTAGCGATGCGTCTCTACCAGATTGTTAATTGCAAGAATTGAAATCTGATATGGGAATTACCGTATTTTTCGCTCTATAAGACGCACTTGACCATAAGACGCACCTAGTTTTTAGAGGAGGGATCCATGGAAAGCTTCCTGATAATCACAGGCACGTTCCCCATCACTTCCCCATGGGCTTCATTAAAAGATGGGTTGCCATTTGAAAACACACACCGACCGGTGATTAACAGCTCTCACCTACACCGGAGGAGGGGGGCGGAGCAGGGCACACCGAGCGCGTGCCGGCCAGGTGTGGTGCAGCCAGGCCGGCAGTGTGCCGGTGGTGGTCTTCCAGGCGGCGCAGCAGCGGTGGCGGGTCTTTCTGGGCGGTGGGGGTGGGCAGTCTGTCTCTCTGTGCGGCTGGTGGGTTAAAGCCCACGGCTCCTCCTCCTCCGCACCACTCCCCCTGAGCGGCACAGCTCTCACCTGCGCCGGAGGGGGGGTGCGGAGCAGCGTGCGCCGAGCATGTGCCGGCCAGGTGGTGCCACGTGGTGCAGGCGTGCCGGCAGTGTCCCGGGCGTCGGGCACACACACATTTGCTGTATAAGATGCACAGACATTTCCCCTTTTGAGGAGGGGGAAAGTGTGTCTTATAGAGTGAAAAATATGGTATTACAGCTCATTAGAATGCATGCTTGTTCAGGAAATATAGACATTTCCAAATGGGAAATAAATGGAAAGCAATTTGAATAAATGATTTCACATTTTCTTGATTATTACGTTAATCCACCATGACTTTTACAATATAGCTAATGTTTCTTCAGGGAGTGATGTAAGATGGCAATAATCTAGAATCTTTTAACAAGGTATTTTCAAACTGCGCCTCTTGCATGTATTTTCATTTTGCATACAATGAATAAAAGTGGTAGATTCCACCTTCATTTTTTAAATTGCAGACTAATTACACATTTTGGTTATGATGGTCAGTGTGGGTAAGGAAGACTATCTGAGTAAGTTAAATTACTCTCGTGGAAACTGGATTAATGGTAGCCAACTCTCATAAGGAGGAGATCTTGCCTGTCTTAATGAAACAAAAGTCTAAAATTTTCTACTTAATCCAAATAGTAATAAGAAAATAAAGTTCTGCTGTTGGAATAAGATAATGCAGATTAGTTAAGCCTGCATTGATCTTGCAGTCTAGTTCTGTTGCATAGTTCAAAGTCATTTCATGTATGTGGGGCAGCAGGTAAGAATAATTATGCAGGGAAGGGTGAACATGCATAGCTTGAGGTGCTAAGGAAGATGGCGGTGGGAAACTGAATGGTGGCAGGGGGATTTTCAGCTAAATGGCCTGGTCACAGATGCTTCTGGAAACCGGCTTCAAATTACCTGAAATGCTCAAGTTTCAGTGATAAGTATTTTTAACTTGCACTCTTCTTCCCTCAAAGGCAGAGAAGGTATGTTCTGGTGGCCATAGAGATATACTTCTCTACCCTGCTGGAAAACCGCATCATTCCCTAAAGGGTGTCTCAAGCCAAGAAGGAAGGCCTCAGCCTCCAGTAATAAGACAGAGCTCTGAAACCAAAACAGCTGTACCCCCTGGGGACTTGAAGCAGAGAATTGCAGCCATCTTGTTGAAATATTCCAGTGGCCTTTGGGCTAATGCACTCCCAAAGGTCTACGAAGACACGTACAAAGCAACTTTGCCTCAGGATCTTCTGAACAACCTTGACTCGCTCTCGGATGTATGTTCAGTGGATTACATATCCGGCAATCCCAAAAAGGCAATCCTTTATGCAAAGTCAAAGCAGCACATCAATGAAAACCGGAATGTTAATGCCAAAGACCACAGTCATGGCAATCTGCAGAGACCAGTGGAGCAGCAGCACACTATGATAATGCGGGAGTCCCAAGAGGAGCATGTAGAGGATATAACGGTGCCTCCTTTAATTGTCCCTGTAGAAGCCTCACCATCTGTGTTGGTAGTGGAACTGAGCTCCACAAATGAAGTTGTTGTCAGGTAAGGTTACTGTCACTGTCTCTTCAAACACTGACATTATGCATAGAATGATGTGGTTTGGCTCACTGCTTTGACAAGAGGATAGATTAAGTATTTTTTTAAGGATTGTATCCATTTATGTCTTTCTTGCTGCTGAGTGAAGAAAAGGAGAGGTGACAATTTTAGCAGATTCTCTTGGAGGCCCTCTGCCTCCCTCCCAAATCTGATCTAGTTAGCCGGGGCATCTTTTGAAAAACCGAGGTGAGGCAAGAAAGAGGGAATTTGCAAAAATCACCTTGCTCTCCATTCCATTCACAGAAGCTTCTGTTGGAGCAGAGGAATGCAATACTATGCCACTCAGAGAGCTTCCATATTTCATATTTAAAAATAATATTTAAGTCTGACAGGCAGTTGCATGCATATTGCCTTAGAAGTAATCCCCATGAAGTTTGTGCAGGATTGCTGCCTGAATTTCTCTGTTAAGGCTGTACTTACAGTTCCATAAAACTGAACTTATGACCAGCTTTCAAACAATTAAAAGCTTGCTTTTCTGTGTGAAGATGGAGCCAGGGGCGGGAGCTCATTCTGAGATTTTTGACACAAGAAGCCAAATACATTTTATGTATTCTTTGAGACTTCTTATTTAACCTTACCTCACTAGGATCATCTGGTGGTCATATCAGAGTATCTTGGGTGAAAGCCAAGAAAGTAGTTCAGGTAAAGGAAAGATTCCCATCATGTAACTGAGAGAGACACAATTCCTCCTCCACCCATGCCCCCCCTCATGCCTGCACAATTTGTTCCAAGGGATTGAAGACTCTCCAGAACAGATTTTCATTGATAAAAAGGGCTGCTGGGAGAGATGGGGAGGGAAAACCAAGGAAAGTCTCATCGCATGAGTGGACTTCTTTACTCCACTCATGTGACATTGGATTCCGCCCACCTTTGTCCCTGTCAGCTCTCTGAGCTATGTAATGTGTTCAGCTGAGAATTTTCAGATTATTAATATTCCTCACTCTACAGTCCAGCAGCATGCATGGTTCACTTGGAGAAGCACGCCTTTTGCTCAGCATCTACTGTCTGGTTCCTGGAAATTTCTGGACAAGTGCCCAGTCCAGTACATAGTTACTCAAAAGTTAATCCTACTTCACTGACTGGGACTTACCGTGCATAAGATTGTGGCCTCATCTTTCTTGTTAATCCTCTTTCTTGGCATGCAAAGTTACTGCCACACCTACTCTGCAAGTAAACACACAAAACAAAAGGCATAGTGCTTCAGGATTTCACTTCTATGTTAAATAAGAATTCTAGCATACTTAATCAATACAGTAACAAGATAGTAGATATGTTTACACAGGTCATAAATAAATTTGTGTTTCACATATCTAATGTTGCAAAGAATGCTTTGGATTTGATAGCCCATGGTCTGTTCCAGCCTTCTAGGAAGTTACGTACATTCTTGAACCATACTGACAAATATGCACGCACTTGCTTCATGCACACTGTTAACTGTTAAAACATGATGAATGGCACAGGCCATCCTGATTGTCTTTTGCTTTTAAGGATGGATCATGAATAGCTGCCTGGCTACAGTTTTGACATCGTGAATGCCAGTTTTGACACCAGCTAAACATCAGTTAGCCCTGCAGTAATCACAGAGAAATTGCACATTGCAGTCAAGGTGTAATGGCCACATTCAGAAGGTCCTGTATGGTCTAGAGTAGTGGTTCCCAAACTTTTTCACCCATGGAACCTTTGTGAAGACATTTTTTTTCCTGCAGAACCCAAACTCTATCCCTGATTTTTACTAAGCATTGTGAACTTACAACATCCATCCTTCTTTCATCTGCTCCTATTGCCTGAGTGCTTTGCACATAGTAGGTTTGGAAATAAAGAGAAAGCATTTTAAATATAATGAATGAATAAAGCAATTATATGGTAGTATCTCAAATGAATTCTTTTGATTAGTCCTAACACTATGCAATCGAGTCCTAGGAATTAAATGATGTGATGCATTTCCTAGTTTGCCGCTTGGATGCCAACTGACAATTGAATAGTTGGCCTCGTGTTGTTTCATTTTAAAATCTGTTTTAACGTTGATTTTTGAGATTTATTGCAGAACCCCTACAAGACTTTTTTTCATTTTTTGCCAACTCCTAATACTATTTTTTATTTTTTCTTAACATGTGCAGTTATATTAAAAATGTAAAATAGAAAAAACTAGTATAAACAGAATGAAATAATGTGAACAAGATAAACAAAACAGACAAGATTGCCAAGGGAATTTTAAACAGATACAGTCTATATTACAATCTCCCAAACTGAACTCTATCTTCCCATACTTTATGAGAGTTTACTGAAAAGAGATCATTAATCTATGCATCAACAGATACTGCTTTCCTCCTTCTTTTCCTAACTGCCAATGAACTTCCATTAATCATGCTAAGCACAATAAAATTTCCATTTATCATTAAATTCTTCTAACAGTCTTCTATTTACATAGTTGGTAGCTTTGCTATCACTGCATATTCTGCTAATCTGTTTCTCCATTCCTCAATAGTTGGGGGCTCTGGTGATTTCCATTTAGAAGCTATTGACATTCTTGTTGCCGTAGTCATATAATTAAATAACTCTGACATATTTTTCAAAAGGGTCTCTGGGATGTTATTCAAAACCATGTTATTCTTCATGGTCTCTGTGCACCACACATATGGGCTCTTTGCGCATGTGTGGAGCAGTTTTCTGGAAGATTCTAAAGCTGATTAATTAGTATTTGGCAGGAGCCCAGCCCCAAACGTGGCTAGTGTGAGGGTGAGGCTTCCGCTGAGACCTCAGTTCTTCTTCGACTGCCATCACAAGCACATTGGGAAGGTCATCTCCGATTTACCTTGCGAGTTATACTTGAGATAACTCCTGCCTGGTCAGGTCTCTTCTTTCTTCATTTTTTTCTCCATACTGCTTGAAGCAAAAAAGAAAAAGAAAGGGTTAGAATTATTACACCAAGAACAGCGGTATACCACTGAAGCCCTATTTGTCGCACCTTGTTGGCCAGACAAGATGGCACTCAAGGTCCCATTTCACAATTGTACCATGTGCGGTAGCAAACTCTTTGTCTTTTCTGCTTGGGAGAGTTGCACGTTGTCGAATCTTGCTATCATTGCCAGGGTTTTACTAAGCAGGCAAGAAAACACTGGGCTGACCGTTTAAAAGCTGAACTTTGGAGTCTTGCCTTGCACACCGAGGACCCACAACTGTCCACCTCTGTGGCTTTTGCTCCCACAGTAAACAAGTCACTAGCCCCTCCACCAGCAAAGATGCCTATGGTGGCAAAGCAGAAAAAGGCAGAAAAGAAAGCAAAGCCACCAGAATCACTCACCCTTACTAAAGAGAAGAGGAGTGCGAAAAGCACCCAAGCACACTCGGAATCGTCATTACCAAGTGGCCTCCCATGTTCAGAAGACACGGTGCCATCCCAAGACCAAAACAAACCAAGACATTTGCTGGACCCATCTCAGCCTCCAAAAAGCACTTTGGTGTCAGAGGGAGAAATTCAAGAATCACCCCCAGTTCAGCTCGCAAAATCGGACCATCCCTTGGTACAGAGATGGGTCTCTCCCTCACCCTCGATTCCGAGTGTTTTTCTCCAAGCAACAAATTGCTAGACATCATTTTCGATCTCCTTTGGCTCAAACTTCTCATAACAAACATCAATCTCACACAAGACACCAAGGGGATTTCGATACCGATTTCTACATGGAATGATGGGGATCCATCGATTCCAAACAAGGGTCACACTGGATCCCTTTGGGCTTGGAGTACAACCCCTTACCAGATCCTAGTTCCTACAGCCCACTGCAAGAGTCTGCTTGAGACCCTGCCCACATAATATGATTTTTGGATAGGCCACTTCTGTCCTTCTTTCCTAGCCAGCATACAGATAGGACCAAGTTTCTCTCTGAACAAGGACAATACATTTTGGTTTTGATGGTGTTCTCTCCAGATCGTCATTCTGACATGCTGCCAGGTGTTACTACAACTTCATTTGATTTATCCTGGACACCAGAGGACACTGGACTTTTCACCTCCCATGTCCTCCATATGGCCCACAGCCTAGAACTTAATCCTAGGCAGGAACCTACTAGAGCGAAAGACCCAGTCTTCAAGGCCATTGATGCAGAGTCTGCAGGCTCGGGCACTATTCTGCTCCTGCCAGCCCTGCTTGATGCAATGCACCCTGAATGGAGGTCTCCAGCATCAGTAGCTCCTCCACCTTGCTGGCTTGAGAATATGTATCGGGTCCAAGAGAAAGATGCCAAATTCTTGTTTCAGCACCCTCAGCCTAACTCTATTATTGTCAAGACCACCTAGTCACATTCCAGGAGAGAACATGCCACTTCGTCAGACAAAGAAGGCAGGCGCCTTGATGCTATCGGTTGCCGCTTCTATTCTTCTGCAGCCTTCTCTATAAAGATGGCTAACTACCAAGCTACCATGGCTAGGTACTACCTTATGCTTTGGGACAAAATGGCATCCCTATACTCCTCATTACCTAACAGGGCTCAAGACCTAGCAAACGAAATAAAAAATGAGGCCAGGCAGAAGATCCTCATAACTTGACACCAGCTGGAGGGTTGTGTACATAATATGGCAGGAGCAATAGATTTTCGCCGCTTTGCATGGCTTCGATTTTTGGGTCTATCAGGTGAAGCTAAGGCAAGAATTGAGGATATGCCATTTGACGGTGCTGGCTTGTTCCACGAGACCACGGATGACCATATGGACTCTGTTCAGAAGGCTAGGAATATTGCATGCCATATTGGGCTCAATCAAACACTGCCCGAAAGGTCATATGCTTCGTGTAAGTGGTACAGATCCTCCTACACTTACCAGTCGAGGACTCCTGCCCCCACAGCTGCAAGACATTGTGCTGCCACCCAGCCTAGGTGCCAGGATCCCCTAACATGGATCCATCCATCCCGGAGGTGCCCTGACGATTTCAGGAGGCATCTCTGACTCTTTCAAACACCTTGTGCTATATCCACTACTTTCAATCAGCAACTTCAGCCCTTTTTCCACACTTGGGCTGCCATCACCTCGGATTTGTGGGTGCCATCCATCATTGCCCGTGGATACCATATCGAGTTTCATACTTTCCCTCGTTCTATGGTACCAAAACTGACTGCTCCATCACCTCCCCTCCTACAGGAAATTTCTTCCTTGTTTCATAAAGGAGCTGTGGAACTCTCACAACCACAAACCCCTGGATTCTATTCCAGGTATTTCACCATCCTGAAAAAAGATGGAGGTCTCCATCCTATCATGGTCCTCCTCTCTCTTAAAAAATATATTCAACCCCAACGTTTTAGGATGGTGTCCCTGCAGTCCATCCTCCCTTTACTCTCCAAAGGTGTATGGTTCACATAAGTTGACCTAAAAGTCACCATTTATATATCATATATCCATTGAGGAATATCACCATTGAGGAATCCTATAGACCTTTCCTCCGTTACCAGATAAATAGTAAAAAATTTCAATTCACAGTTCTTCCCTTTGGGTTAGCAACAGCACCCTGTGTATTTACCAAATGTATGGCAGTTGTTTGTGCATACCTCCGTCTCCATGGCATTCATGTACATCCTTACCTGGATGACTGGCTTATTGTAGCTCAGTTGCATGAAGCCTCCCTAAAATCCACAGAATTCACTTGCTCCCTCCTCTCCAATCTGGAAGTCTACATTAATATAGCTAAATCTCACCTTTCTCCTTCCCAGTCGATCAACTTCATCAAAGCCAGCCCCGAATTGATGCCGGTGAAAGCTTTCCTCTCCCGGAACAGACTGTCCACCATGTCCAGAGAGGTCGTCTCACTGATTGATGCCCCTTCACCAACTGCCAGATCAATCCAACACATGTTAGGCCTGATGTTCGTGGTGATTCCAGTCATTCCGCTAGCAGGGCTATTATGAGACCTCTTCAATTGTGGTTTCTGGCATCCTTCGATCAAATAACTCAACCACACCATACCACAGTCTGCCTTCCACCTCGAGTCCAGAAATCCCTATATTGATGGACAAAAAGAACCAGCATGGCCATTGGAGTCCCCTTCTCCCCTCAAGACCCTCAAGTGACTGTTGAAAACGGCCTTTCTAGTCGCTATTACCTCTGCCCGAAGAATGGCTGAGCTTGCTGCCCTCTGAATCGACTCTCCACATACTATTTTCCATAGAGACAAAGTCATTCTTCGACCTTAACCTGCCTTCCTACCTAAGGTAGTATCTTATTTCCATATCAATGAGCCTATAATTCTGCCTTTGTTCATCCAGAATCTGTCTACTCCTATTGAAACCACTCTACATTCCCTGGATGTGAGAAGGACTCTTGCCTTTTATAAATCAAGAACCCATTCTTTCAGGCAAACTCAAAGACTGTTCATCCTGTACGGTGAACCATGCAGAGGAAACCCAGTTTCCCCTCAGAGGCACTCTAGGTGGATTGTCCATACTATTCTATTGGCCTATGATCTCTCCGGCCTCCAGCTTTTTGGACCTGTCAAAGCTCACTCTACTAGAGCCACATCCACCTCCACGGCACTCTATACTGGAGTGTCCCTGACTGACCTATGTAAGTCAGCGACATGGTCAAACCCGTCGACCTTCATTAGACACTACCACCTTGATGTCAAATCCAGAGAGGACTGCACCTTTGGTAGATCCGTCCTCTCCGCTATACTTCACTGAGTGACACCACCCTCCTCCTAGAGGTAAGCTCACCAGTCACCCATATGTGTGATGCACGAAGAATAGAGAAGGGTTACTTACCTGTAACTATCATTCTTCGAGTGGTCATCTGTGCATTCACACATACCATTCCCCATCCCCTCTGATAACTCTCTTGACACATGGGTTGTTTTTTAGCGTCAGTGACGCAATCATGATGGTGGTTTCAGCTGGAATTGAGGTCTTGGTGGGAGCCCCACCCTCACGCTAGCCCTTTTTGGGGCTGGGCTCCTGCCAAATACTAATTAATCAGCTTTAGAATCTTCCCGAAAACCGCTTCATGCATGCGCAAAGAGCCCATATGTGTAAATGCACAGATGACCACTCAGAAGGACAGTCACAGGTAAGAAAACCTGTCTTTCTTGGGACTCATAGGAAACTTAATTTTGAAGATTTTCTGCATTTCAACCCCTACAAGGCTTTTGTGGAACCCTTGGGTTCTGCGGAACACAGTTTGGGAACTGCTGGTCTAGAGGATCATGACTGACCACTGTATCCACACATACATTCCTTTCTGCAGGTAGAGCTTCATTCTCAAGACCATTTACAGCATTTGCTTCCAATCCTCATCCATTGTCTCACTACAGCCACTTCCCCAGTAGGCGCAAATATAACACTGCAGTGTTTATAAAGGTGTAGAAATGCTGAAGTGCTTACAATGAACATCTTTGCCACCACCTTTTAATTGCTATTGTTCAGCCTACAGTGGGATGTCTTGGTGTCTGAACCCAAGAGGCCAATTCCTTTGCAAAGACTGCCTAACAAGCTAGTAAGAGTGGAGAAAAGACCCTGCTGCTCTTCATAACGTTGCCTTTAACATCACCAGTGATAACGCCTCCACCAGTGCCCAAGCAGCAGTTCAGAGCAACTGTCTCTGGTTCACCATGCTCCCCTCCCCGCAAAAAAGGCCCTAAAAAAATTCTGCAGTCATGTTCAACAGTTCTGCTTGCTGCAAAATGGACCTTTATGGCTGTCTAGTCCGTATAATCTCGCAGTGTCCATTGCAACTTTCAAAGGGAAAGAAAGCAGGTGACAGATTGATAAAGTACAACTTCATTTAGACCATGGGTCCTCAAACTATGGCCCATGGGCCGTATCTGGCCCTCTTCCGAGCTTTTGGACTCGGTCAGAGAAGATGATCTCCGAGCGAGTCCAAAAGCTCTGAGCCGGCGCAGGTGAACTCAGTGGGGAGATGGCCACGATCACAGTCACACTCCTGCATGTTTCTCCTCTATTACTTGTCAGCTGTCTGTAATACAAAAAATGTGCATTTTTAGAGTTGTCAGTAAACCAAAAGGAGCCACAGTGCTAAGGGTTCCAGAACAGAGATTTGGAAATGTGGGAAAATGAATGTCTTCCTTTTTTGGAACAGCTGCAGACTGGGGAGGAAGTGATGAAAAGTTGGAGGGCACTGTCAGTTCAGCACGTAAAAGCCGGAGGATTGCATTGCTAAGCAGATTATATTGTTGCCACCCTCTTTGGTGCACCTCCTTTTCCTGACCCCCCCTTTCAGATGACAGCTAAGTAATTGGCAACTCGAGCCAAATTAGCCTATACCATCTTGCTTATTAATTGTTATGTATGTTACCCCTTCCACTTCATTGTTTGCTTTGCCAGATGAAACTTAGGCCCTTGACAAGGAGAAACTGACTCACTAAAATCTGTAATTAAGAATGAACTGTCATAAAACTTATTAATTTAGAAATATGAGTTAAAGACAAAATGGTTCATAGTAACAAACATGGGAGCTGGTTTGTTATGCTCATGAAAACGTACCATGGTGTCACTTGTTGGTCAGCTCAGGCATACCCAAGCCAGTGTGTTCTGGGTTCTGTGCAGTTAGCTTTGCCTTCAGTAACTTGTATTACAGTACTGTATCTTGTTCAAGATGTTTTACTGTGTATAGAAGTGTTTCTTAAGTGTTTTACTTGCATAGAAAGGTATAATGTATACGTGTACTAAGACAAACATTTGGCTTGCTTATGCTAAATTCCACCCGTACATATGTGATCCAACTTATATGCAAATTCAACTTCAAGTTGCTCTAAGGTATGGAGCTCATTTGTAACTCAAGGACTGCCTATACACATATTGGACACCTGTAAGTGTGCACTTGAACACTTGCACAGAATGACAAAAATTTTAAAAAGATGGATACAACTTTTTGAATTTCTGGCAGCAAAAACAAAAAACAAAATCAGGTTGTTCATAGGTTATTGAGCATGACATGTGAATCTGGAGCACTAGGCCATTTAGCCACTAAATAACCTCGTGGGTAATCCATGGATTGTTGTTGGGTTAGCAGTTAAGTTATTTAGCCAGAACTCCATGCTCAACAAGTTACAGTTAAGCCCAACTGTAAAAGGAAAACAAACAATTTAAATATCCAGTCACATGCTGAGAGGCATGGAAGCAGTCAATATATTCCACACTCCCATTGTACATACTTGCAACATAGCCTCTATGCACCTACACTTACTTGCATTGATGCTAATCTATTTTTCTGCCTTAATTCTAAATTGATGACTTATGAAAAATTTGAAAAGGTTAACATTTCTGTATAGCTCACATATTTTTGTTGTCCTTTTGTCCTAACTTATTTCAATCTGAAATTCCACAGATATGTGGGCAAAGACTATTCTGCTGCTCAGGAATTAATGGAAGATGAGATGAAGAATTGGTACTCTCAGAATCCGTCAGTTGTGCAGATACAGTCTCCTAAAGTTGGACAGATTGTTGCTGTGCCTGCAGAAGAAGATGCTTGGCTACGGGCACAGATTGTTTCAACACAAGGCAATCAAATAAAGGCAAGTACAGTGGGTTCGCATAATTAAAAAATGGCATAAAAGCGAGTTCCTCGCATCAGAGTGTGCTCTAATTGTTGTTTTGAACATGTTCACTGCTTTGAGTGCTTCTTTAAGTAGAAAGGTAAGAAGAACATTCGCTTAAATAAAATAATACCTCAGACTCCCCCCATATCCCCTGATTTAGTTACCATATTTCCAGTTAACCTTGGTCTGAAAGGGAAGTTGTAAAGTGCTTCTTTTAAGTGAAAATTCTTGATTTAATAGGGAAAGAAAAAAATGTGTGTTGAGGTTACTAGGATGTATGGTAAGAACAAATCTTCTGTCTGTGAAATTGTGAAATAAAATGCATGTGTACATTTGTATATATGTATAGTGTTCAATATTATCCACAGTTTTTGGCATCAACTCGGGGACTTGGAACCTATCCCCATGGATATAGGGGCCCTGCTGTATGTATAGAGGTCAGTCTGCATGTTGGAGGGAATTTCAGCACAGACCCTAGCAAATGGTGTGTCAGACTCTCATGCATCTCCTCTTCTTGGGGGATCTCATCCTGTAACTGGTCCCTTCCACTTAAAATAATAGCCATTCTTGGCTAATTAGAAGAATAGGTGCAAATCAGTGTGGATGAGAGAGCTTGTGGACAAAGAGATGGTAGCACATTCACCTTGGCAATCTCGCTAGTCTATAGGGTGCGGGTGGGAAGTGGAGGAGCCTGGTCCTCACTTTAGGACTCTCTTGTTTATTTCTCTTCCCCACCTCTCATTGAACTCTTCAAATGCATTGGGAGGTAATATGAGTGGGACGCAGGGATAAAGAATGCATTGGAGACAATCTAGATGCACCTTCCACAGACTGGGTGCCTCCAGATGTTTGGCCTACAGCTCTCATCAGTTCTAGCATGATCAGTGCTCTGGAACAATCATAGTGGTAGGCCAAAGCATCAGGAAAGACTCAGGCTGGGGAAGACTGAGCTGCATCATGATTGCAGCAGCAGAGAGTGAGCTGATATCAGTTGTTCCGGAGAGCTGCTTGGGCACTTTGGGTAGCTGCTTTCCCTGATGGGGCCACCGCCATTGGGGTGGTGATGGGCAATGGGCGTTGTGGACGTTATGGCGTTGGGGGTCTAACGGGTCTGCATAGAAGAAGGAGGGACAGATGGTTAACACCTGTCCCTCTTTCTGGTTATTCCCCCAGCCGGCGGGTTCCAGGTAGACTTGTCAACTGCCCCCCGGGCCTGGCGGTGCTGTTGCTTAGTGCCAGGTCGGTCCAAAATAAGGTAACACTCATCCATGACTTGATCATGGATGAGATGGCTGACCTGGCTTGCATAACAGAGACTTGGGGAGAGGGGATGTCTCCCTCTCACAATTGTGCCTGCCCGGGTACTTGGTCCAGCACCGACCACGCCTGGAGGGGAGGGGAGGGGGGGTCGCTCTGGTCTATCGAGCTTCTGTTTCCCTTGTGGGGCTTCCTGTCCTCTCGAGACCAGGGCTGGAGTGCCTCCACTTGGTGTTGGGCGACCGAGACAGATTGGGGATTCTGTTGGTGTACCGTGCACCCTTCTGCCCAACAGACTCCCTACCTGAGCTGACGGAGATCGTCTCAGACCTGGTGCTGAAGACTCCCAGGATGTTGGTCCTGGGGATCTTCAATTTCCATGCCGAGACGGTTCTAACCGGGGTGGCTCAGGACTTCATGGCCTCCATAATGGCCATGGGGCTGTCTCAACACGTCATAGGCCCGACCCATGAACGTGGACACACTCTGGACCTGGTTTTCACGACGGGGCAGGAAGAGGATGATCTGAGGGTGAGGAATTTAAGTTTGACGCCCTTGTCATGGTCAGATCACATCCTCATAAGGTTTGAGCTCGAGAGCGGCCTTTCCCTCTGCAAGGGTGTGGAGCCGATTGTATCAGTCCGCCCCTGGAGCCAGATGGATCCTGATGGATTCCTGGAAGCTCTGGGGGATTTTCCGGTTGACAAGGCTGGTGATCCTGTTGATGCCCTGGTTGAACTGTGGAATGAGGAGATGACCAGGGCTATAGACACGATTGCTCCCAAGCGTCCTCTCCCACCTGGCAGAGCCCATTCATCTCCTTGGTATACACCTGAATTACGGGCGATGAAGCAGGTTGGGAGATGTCTAGAGCGTTAGGTGGAGGAGATCATGGAGTGATTCTGATCGAACACACTTGAGAGCCCATTATCGGAACTATGCTGTGGCGGTGAGGATGGCAAAGAAGAAATTCTTCTCCATTTCCATTGCCTCCTCACAATGCCGTCCGGCGGAGCTCTTTTGGGTGGTGCAGGGGCTGTTACATCTGGGCCCAAAGAGAGATCTGGTGCCACCCTCGAAGGCCCACTGTGACGACTTTGCCAAGCACTTTAGGGAGAAAATCACTCAGATTCGCCATGAACTTGACTCTGCTATTGAATCAGATTTCACTGCTGAGTTGCCATCAACGCCGTTGAGTCCACAATTAATGGATGAATTTCAGTTGTTGTGGCCTGATGATGTGGACAAGGTGCTTGGACAAGTACGTCCTACCACTTGTTTACTAGACCCATGCCCATCTTGGTTACTTAAGAAAGCCAAGGACGGGATTGGGACCTGGATCCTGGAGGTGGTCAACGCCTCTTTAAGAGACGGCCGGGTACCTGCCCCTTTAAAGGAGGCGGTAGTCCAGCCAGTCCTAAAGAAGGCATCCCTGGATCCAGAGGTGGCTGCCAATTATAGACCGGTGGCCAACATCCCGTTCCTGGGCAAGGTACTAGAGCGGGTGGTGGCGGGACAACTCCAAGCACTCTTGGATGAAACTGATTATCTGGACCCATTTCAGTCCGGCTTCAGACCCGGGTATGGCACTGAATCTGCCTTGGTCGCCCTGTACGATGACCTATTCAGGGAGAGAGACAGGGGGAGTGCATCCCTGTTAGTTCTCCTGGACCTCTCAGCAGCTTTCGATACCATCGACCATGGTATCCTTCTGAATAGGCTATTGGGATTGGGAGTTGGAGGCACCGTGTGGCGGTGGTTCCGCTCCTACCTCAGTGGCTGATTTCAGAAGGTGGTGCTGGGGGACTATGGCTCTGCGCCATGGCAGCTATGCCACGGAGTTCCGCAGGGGTCCATTTTGTCCCCTTTGCTTTTTAACATCTACATGAAACTGCTGGGAGAGGTCATCAGGAGGTGTGGGCTGCGGAATCATCAGTACGTTGATGATACCCAGCTCTCCCTCTCGTTTTCTACCAATCCAGGTGAGGCAGTGGCTGTGCTGAACCGGTGCCTGGTCGAGGTATTGGGCTGGATGAGGGCCAATAAACTGAAGCTCAATCCAGACAAGACAGAGGTTCTGTTGGTGGGCGGTTCGGACCTTGGGATGGGGGACTTGGGCCTTGTCCTAAATGGGGTTGCACTCCCTCTGAGGGACAGGGTTCGCAGCTTAGGAGTGCTCCTCTACCCTGAGCTGTCTCTGGAAGCCCAGGTGACGGCGGTGGCGAGGAGCGCCTTCCTTCAGCTGCGTCCCTTCCTAGAGAATGACTGCCTGGCGAAAGTGACACACGCACTGGTAACTTCCCGATTAGATTTCTGTAACGCGCTCTACGTGGGGCTACCCTTGAAGACGGTCCAGATACTTCAGTTGGTGCAGAATAGAGCTGCCAGGTTGCTGATGGGGACTGGGCATTGTTCTCATATAACTCCAGTTCTCTGTCAGCTCCACTGGCTCCCGATTGAAGTCCGGGCCCAATTCGAGGTGTTGGTTGTGACCTGTAAAGCCCTAAACGGCTTGGGACCTGGATACTTAAAAGAACGCTTGCTCCCATATATGCCCTCCCGCCCCTTGAGGTCAGCAGCAGATGCCCTTCTCTGGGAACCATCTGTGAATGACATCAGGAGGGTGAGTACCCGGAGGAGGGCTTTCTCTGCGGTGGCGCCCCGTTTATGGAATGCGCTCCCCAGAGAGGTCCGCCTGGCGCCGTCATTATTTGTTTTTCGGCACCAGGCTAAGTCCTTTTTATTTAAAACTTATTTTAATTGTTAATTTATTTATTTAACTAGGTTCGTTCTTTTCTTTTCTTTTCTTTTCTTTTCTTTTCTTTTCTTTTCTTTTCTTTTCTTTTCTTTTCTTTTTAAATGTTTAGCCGAGAATGCACTGAGGTTTTATTGAGGTTTTATGGCACTGGGGTTTTATTGTATTGGGGTTTTATTGTATGGTTTATTTATTGATGTTGTGAGCCGCCCAGAGGCTTTATTGCGATGGGGCAGCATAGAAATATTTTAAATAAATAAAATAAATAAATGGTGGATTGGGCAAGCTCAGCAAGGGCAACAAGAGGAATTTGTTGCTCCTGTTGACTAGCTTGCTTACCATTTCCCTTGACCCGTGAAGCGCTGGGTGTGAAAGGGTTGTATATACAACCCATCAAAAGTCCAACAACCTCTAGAACAAGTCATGGGTTATCAGGGTGCTTTGTTGCCAAAAACAAATCACCCTGCAGAAAGTGGTCTGCCTTGGCGTGGCATGGCAATCCATCCATGGTAGATTGCCAAGCCATGCAAAAATAGCCAATGGGACTAAAGCCTGTTTGGTTTCTATTTTTCACTCTGTGGACAACTGGTTAAAGAAGCTACAAGAAGGAAGCAAACATCTATCCTGAGATTCAGACTCTTACAGCAAACCGCAGCTGTAAAATGAAAAGAAAAATCTCCTATAGCATCAATAATGTGACTTCCAAATAAACAAAGAATAACAATTCTTTATCTTGTTTTTGTTATGGCATTAGGTGTGCTACGTTGATTATGGCTTTAGTGAAATCATTGAAAATACCAGAGTATACAGACTTGCCAAACATTTCTATTCACTACCATTCCAAGCTACAAAATGTAAACTAGCAGGTAAGAGATGCACTACTTAACACAACATTAAATGAGGAGAGGAAGGTTGCAAAGTAAGATGGTTAATGGTTCTACCTCACAGTGTCTTCTTGCTACTATGAGGGTGCAACAGCACAATGGTTTTGTCCTTTCATGGGATTTCCTTGCAGCTTGTGCATTTCTGCTTCAGCATAGACTACCTTTTGAATAGATATTTTGCATCATGAAAATTATCTCAATGTTTTGAAAAGGTGCTCTTGTGTGGTGTTAATTCTTACAGACTTTTGTAAACGGACATTTCTGGAAACATTTGAGCATGCATTTTGCACAAGAAAATCAGTGGAACTGCAGTACTGGGCTGGTTCACCCATCACAGTAAGCAATGCTGAAAATAAGCTACAGTGGTTACCTGTTAACCCTGTTGCTCCTAATAGACAACTGGGCACTCTGTGGTCGCTTCTTTTCTCCTCAGGCCCACTGCTTGCTCCTGGCAGATATTCTATGGACCTTTGTGAAACAAAACATACTCTGCTGCTGAGCACATGTCAGGTGAACAGGTCACTGGGTGACTTTGCCCACCATGATAAGCCATGCTGTGAATCAACCACCATGGGTTTGTTGTTTGCTTGCTCACTCATCTACACGCAACAGACATTTGGATGCTCTGTGGTTTATCACAGTTTGTTTCCTCTTAAATCCTGCCTGCCTGCTCCTGTCATGTGTACCAGGGTCCTTTGTGCCACAACTCGTTTTCCACTTCTCATCTCTCCAGAGAAACTTTTTACAGCTGCCTCCTACTGTTCTACCCAATAACCATCCCCTATCCTATAACCCCATTTTGATTGTGTCTGTCTTGAAATGAATCTTGTGAATTGTCTTCTCCACTTTGGTATTTCCCTGACAAAAATTTCATTTGCCACACTTCTACATGTCTGCAGGTTTGAGTGATGGCTTTAATATATCTTGTCTTTTTTATTTACACACTTGCTTAAAACAGTTGTTTTGTAAACTACCGAAGCAGAAATTTGCTTCACAGGCTTCCACAGTAATTACATCCACTGCAAAAGTTTCCAGGTACTTCTTTGGGCTCCTTTCCTCCCCAGTTCACTGCAGAGATTAGTCTTGTTGATTTCCTTGTCTATTACCTTCTCTATATGCTAACTTGAGACTGCAGATCTATATATTCTCATGACAGTATCCTTGTAAATTACCTTCTAGCAGTCCACATAGGATTTCTTTTTCAAGTGTACCCAAAAAAAACACCTTTTTTAAAAAAAGGTAAATTACCAGGGGAATAGACAAAGTGTAGATTTTCTGAAGGAGAAGGAACTTTTGAGGGAGGGTAGCCATGTCCCGAAGCAGGTTTATTGAACAGGCAGGGGGAGAGCGAAAAGTGGGCTTTGTGGACAGGTGGAATTACCACAGGGATCCAAAGCCATTCTCTTCTGCAGCAATCACAGTTCTAAGCATCATGCAAATGAAGAAGGAGCTACGTGCTGAATTGGTCATTTGAACCGGCATGTGGGAGGAAATAAGGACAATAAAAGGAGGTCAGGGGACCTGGAGGACCCTGCCTCAGCAAGCCAAGGCATTGAGAGCACGCCAGCCTGTGTTGTAGGCACAGGCTGTCCAGTTAGATTCCTCCTGCGCAGTGATACGTGTGGGTTCCAGCTCAAAGACCTAGCTGTGAAGTAACTAGTTCAGAACATCATTGTGTATAGCAGGTTCCTCCAGTTAGTTTGGGGGCATCTTGCCTTTGCAGGTTTTCCTGGAGCACAGAATCTGACTTCCTTGCAGGATCAGTCTTAAAACTAATTTTAGGGCAAACAGACACAGGCAAGGAGTGGTGTGGTACCAGCAGACCCGCAGAGCGTGCTGGAGCAGCCTGTTCATGGTACTGAAATGGATCTCTGGTGTTTATCCTCCCAATGAAGTCCTAGTCCCTGATCATCAGCTGCTTTTACAGATGGGCCTCTCTGAGTTTGGCATGGGACCTTGGCACTCTGTTATCCTTACTTTTCCAGAATAGACTGCTAGAAAGTCCCATAGATGCTCATGTACATTATCTTTCCATTAAATTCATAATTGCAAGGCCAGAAGTTAATAAGAGCGGCATAGTTGCTGATCCACTTGAGTTAAAGAAAAAAAGTATAGCCTTTACTGGACATTTAGATGAGTTCATGTAATTAGTTTTCTAATAACACCCTAGGAAAATTTGATAAGTAATGCATATTCTGTGCAGCTTTTTGGAATTTCATTGCTGTTTAGCATGTGTAAGTACTTATTCAGTACCAAATACTACAATTACATTTAGCAAATTTGTCTTACTTCCCATTTTTCATAGTTCTGGCTTGGTATGTCTACAGAGGCATGGAAAGCTTTAAAGAACACTGAAGGTTCAGATCAGGATGCTTCAAAAGCTAATGAAGCCCTGCCTCTGACCACTGGGATCTTATCCAGCCACCTTCACTCTTTCGATGTATCTGCAGCATTGCTTGTGCCCACACATAGATATCTTTATTGCAATAAGGGCTTATTGCAGAAAGGGTCACAGACTTGCTTAAAACTGTTAGGACTTTTTTAAAAATAGACTTCAAATTCATAATGGGTATGTGCATTGAGTGGCTGAAATAAAAATGGAGAGATACTTGAACTGGCAAACCATTTTGCCACCATCTGGCCCTAAGCAGAGGCAGCAGAGTAGGTGTACTGATGCAAGACGTTCTCTCTTGGTGACATTCATGCAACCTGTGCTCTTCCCATGACCCATTTGCTCTAGGGTTAGAAGCCTTCAGTGATGACCCTGTCTTGGTGAAGATGGTGGAATCTCAATTCTGTGGCAAGATATTTGCTGTTGAAATAGTAGAGAAAGGTGACATTCCACTTGTTGTCCTGTATGATACTTCAGGAGAGGATGACATCAACATAAATTCTGCTTGCTTGAAGGCACTTTGCGATAAATCTCTTGAGCTTCATCTTCAGGTACCATCTACACATCTGCTTGAATGCATTGATAAAAGATCAGTGCATTCAGCATCCAAAATGTGTGCTTTGCTTTGCTTTCAATAGGTAGATGCACTCTATACAAATGTCCGAGTAACCAATGTTTGTTCTGATGGAACCTTATACTGCCAAGTGCCATCAAAGGGCCTAACCAAGCTGTCAGAAGCTTTGCAGAAACTAGAAAGCTACTTACACCACAAGGTAAGTCTACTTTTAATATTCACTGGCACTGTTCATGTTCACAAGATTCAAAGGCTCTCTGCGCCGTTAACATAACAACCCTTTGCATAGGAATGAGGACACATTCTTGTTGATTTGCATGGAACAGCAGTAAGCCACTGCCTTTATGAAAGTATGCACTGGACTCGCTTCTGCTGTTCGAAACAGTGGCTGACTGGCTGGGGTGTGCTTGCAGTACTGAACATTAGCACCCCAGCAGCAATATGCCCATATTGTTTTTCATATGGTAACATTTTCATCTAGGAAAGACTACCCAGTGCAGTGCTTGGTTCCCCAAATCCTTCTTGATCTTGGTGTAGTGGAGTCCACACAGAGGTGCAGCAGCGCTTGATAGTTAGAAACAAATATGTCATCTACCTGCACTGTGTATTCCCAGCTCGCTTTGAGTGGAGTTGTAATCGCCCCAATAGCTGCACAGAATTAAATTTTCCAGAAACAATATGCTGCTTGTCCCTGTTGTAATGCAAGGTATTTTGGAAAGATTTGGTTTTGAGTTGGCAATTGCAACCAATTTGCTGTACAAAATAACTGTTCCTGGTGGAGATGAAAACAGCTAGAATTGGTTTGTATCAACATATGTATCACATAGCAACATAACGCATAGCACATGACAAAACCAAATATCATCAATCAACATAGCTGCCCAAATTTGGACTCTCCATGGTGGTGTGGCTGTGGAGACTATCCTGATAAGCACCCACGTTTCAGACTTTCCCACTATAATACTGCTTCTGCCTTCGTCTTATGTTTCTGTAAAGAGAAACTGAACTTTGCTATCTGGACACATATTTGGTAAGTTGTGAAGTTGAATGTTAGAGTTTTGTACAGTAAGTGGAATATATATTCCAGATAATAGATGGGTTGAAGTTCTTTGTTGTGTAAGTAGAAATATGAGACTAATTCTTGCATGTGTAAGTGTTTGATAGAGAAAGAACAAGAATTCTAAGACATGAAATTACTGCAACCAGGTGGCCTACTTTCTAGCAACTTGCTTACTCCATAATACACTTATAGTACCTCTCCAACTCTTTTTTTCTTTTTGGCAAAACCTTTTTTTAATTTCCAGGTATTTTAATAGTTAATTTTAGTTTTTATATTATATTGTATTACTGCTGCTGTAGCTATGCACCAACCTTGATTAAGGTTGCTGTGGGTTTGTTGTTATTGTGGTTGTTTTATTGGCATTAGTATTCTACAGTTTTATTGTTACATGGTGTTTTCATTTAATTTTTTTTTGTTAACTGTTGGGCAGTATAAAAATGAAATAAATAAGTATATAGTTGCAATTGTTACTTACAAATGGCTTCATCTGTCTATTCCAGCAGGTAACGGAGTGTTCAGTGTCACTTCCTTACTGTGGCATGATCTGTTTGCTTAACTGTAAAGGAAAATGGGCACGTGTGGAGGTATGAAATGCATTTAATGGAGGGCATCTGCTCCCCTGTCAGTGGTTGACATTTAGCTTTTGTTTGTATGTTTTTCTGAGTCAGTTTCTTGTGGTGCAAAGTACTGATAAGGCTTATGAGTTAAAACATTTTCCCCCAACCTCGATCTTTCCCCTCTATCATTATAGGGTTTTTAATTCAGGAAACCTCTACCGGTTAAGTGTTTAAAAGAAATGGCAACTAATAAAAAAACTTGGATAGAACCAAAAGTTGAAAACTAGTTGGAAAAGGTATATTGACTTTTTCTTGCTGCTTTTCCGAAGATCACCATTGCCTTGAGTGGCATTAATATTCTTATCACCTTGTTTTGGGTTTAGCAGTTGACTAGCTTTCCCTATTCCTGAGATGTTTGACTACTCCATTTTGGCTAGGAAACTATTTGTCAAACATGTGCTTGTGGGTTACTGTTCCTTATCGGTGGTGGCAGAAGTATTTCTCACAAAGCTGCACTTGTATATTCTAGAACGGGGTGCTCAAACTTTTTTAAACAGGGGGCCGGTTCACTGTCCCTCAGACTGTTGGCGGGGGGGGGGGGGACCTATAGTTTAAAAAAAAAATGAACGAATTCCTATGCACACTGCACATATCTTATTTGTAGTGCAAAAAACAGGAAAACAATACAATATTTAAAATGAGGAACAATTTTAATCAACATAAACTTAGTAGTATTTCAATGGGAAGTATGGGCCTGCTTTTGGCTAATGAGATGGTGACACCCCAGAAACATGTCCACAGCAACACGGTGAGTATAAAACTGATACGATTAGGACCATTTCTGCAGAGAACAATCATAAGCTCATCATGAGCTCATTTACATATGTGGTAGTGTGATCCACAGGAGGTCGCTTTTTGGAAAGCAATGGACAGGCAATGATGAAGTGATATGTTGCCTCCACACCACCTGTTTTAACCACCATCTCCAATAGCAACCAAATGACACTAATAAATCTGCACTCACATCAGTGCACATCCATAGAAATACATGACGTGTGGCATCCTACATCAAAATTTGCATTACAATTTATTTTTCATAAGCAAAAATGAGGAGGAGAGGTGGAGGGGAACAACTTCTGAATCTGCTAAAAAATGATATTTTTATTTAAAAATATAAAACAGCTTTTTAAAAAGAGAAACTCACTGAATATCCACTAGGTCCTGCAACCCAAGTCCATCTCTACAAATTATGTCTGCATATAGTTTGTAAAGATGGACTCAGGTTGCAGGACTTAGTGAATATTCAGTGAGTTTCTCTCTTTTTTTAAACCTGTGTTTATATATATATATATATATATATATATATATATATTAAATTAAATTAAATTAAATTAAATTAAATTAAATTAAAAAAATATTTGCAGCAGAAGCCCAAAATGACACTGTGCCACTCACCAAAAGGGAGAGCACAACACGAGAGGGAGCCATGAGGACGCACTCGCCTCGGTCAAGGCCTTCCTGACTCCTCACTGCCGCCCCACTTCCAAGCTGGAGGAACGTCCCCTCGTAGGCGCTCACCCAGCTCCGGGAGGGGAAGTGGGAGGCCGGAGAGGCGAGCACGGAGTGGCTCCCCTGGCTGGGAGAGGGCCCTGAGGAGGGAGGTAATGGCTGCTTTTCACGGGCCGAGGGGAGGCGAGGGACGGGGCCGTGGCCAGCCAAGTGGGGTGCCTCTTGCCTCTCCCTGCCACAGGGGGAAAGAAGCATGGTGGCCGCTTGATGGCAGCGGCGGCTTGCCCTGAGAAGGTTGCAACAGAGGTGTGGGAGATATGGCCCCGTTCCTGCTCCGCATCAGCCCACCCGCCCCCAGCTTCGGTGAGGTGGCCATGGCTTGGCCCACAAGGGACATGGCTCATATTTTTGTGGTTAAAAAAGAAAAGGATTAACCTGATTAAATTGAATGTTACAGGGAAATTTGATTTGGTTTGCGACCAATTTGGTTCACAGCCAGAATCGTGGAACAAATTAAGTTCATGAACCAAGGATTTATTTTATTTTAGGAAATAAAATAAAACTGACAGAAATATTCATTAATAAAAGTATTATATAGTTTAAAATATATTTAAAAAATTATATTTTTCTTACTTCTAGCTTTTTTTAGTGTCTTCATCTCTCTCCCTTCCCACCACCCTCCTCTCTTCTGTATTCCCACTCCGTATTCCTGCTCTGTATTCAGAGCCAACACATGCATGCAATAGGGGAAAGAGCTGGCGCATGCGCAGTTCACACTGGCAAGACCAGCACAGCAGCAGGAGCTAGCCAGAGCTAGCAGAGAGAGCCAGCACACGTGCAGTTGAAAGGAACTGTTACAATTTGGCGCGTGCGCTGGCTCTCTGCTTGTCTTCAAAACTGAAAGAGTTTCAGAGTATGCCTGTGCCAGCTGAGAGCTTTCAGGCTTGAGCTTGTTCAGAGATTGTTTTCTCCAAACGAGTCTGAAAGCTCTGAGGCGGGCCGGGTAAATGACCTTGCGGACCGTATCTGGCCCACAGGCCGTAGTTTGAGGTCCCCTGGTCTAGAACAATGAAGTTGACCCTCCAAAACTAACAGAAACCTTTTCTTGGGGTGCCTTAGGATATGGATGAGAGATCCCCTCTAATCCCAGGCCCTATGTCAGTCTGGCGCAGATGCTGCCTGATTTGGTGGCTCATTGGCAGTGAACTGTTTCTTTTCCTGTGGAATTGCTTAACGGAGAGTTCCTGCCGTGATATTCACAATGACCTTTTAGGACTAGAATGTACCTTGTGCTTATATATGTTAAAAGCTATTTTGCCATTCCCTTATTTTTGCTCCATCTCATCTGCACAGATAACAAGTGTTCATAGTAGCCGTGCTCTTGATGTACAATTTATGGATACTGGAACTGTGGCATCTGTCAAAGTAGCAGAACTGAGAGAGATTCCTTCAAAATTCCTGCGCGAAATCATTGCAATACCACCTCAGGTATGAAGCTCTCCAGTCGTTCATTAGTGCTTGACCTTGTTCCAGGGAGCTTATTACGCAGATGTCTTTCTTGCTGCCCTATGCATTTTAATATAACAAGAATGCCATGGTAACTGCATTTTATGATGGTTCATTTTTAGGCAATAAAATGCTGCTTGGCTGACCTTCCTCTTAATATTGGCATGTGGACTCCAGATGCTGTACTTTGGCTGAGGGATACAGTACTAAATTGCCCCGACTGCAGCATAAAGGTACAAATATTCATTCTTTAACATCCAAAGGGGTAGTTTATTCTGAATGCCTCCTGCTTATCAGTTGTACTAGTTGTCACAGGAGTTAGAGGTGCAGAGCCCACTGTGAAAGTGGAAAACCTGCAAATGGTCCCACCTAAATTCCATCTCTTGATGTGTGGGGCAGGAAAGCCTGTTTTGGAGGCCTCTCTCTCTCTCCTTTTCTTCTTCTTCTTCTTCTTCTTCTTCTTCTTCTTCTTCTTCTTCTTCTTCTTCTTCTTCTTCTTCTTCTTC